CTGTCACAATGTACAGGGCAGATGTATTTAATGCAAACAGAATCACCGTCGATGATTGCTTTGTCTGAGAAAAATTACCAGCTTACTTATAGTGAAAGGTACACTGGTAATCTACATCATTGGGATTTAATAATTGAGGGATATCAGTAAAGTATGTCTATAGACAGGGCTTTTGAATCACTCTTGTCACAAAATTACTCTTTCCAATTATAGTTAATGGGAAAGGTGTGGAAACCGTAATGTCTGCAAAACTCCTTGGATTCACCATAAGTGATGACCTGTCATGGAAAGAGCATGTTAGTGAGGTTATAAACAAGGCCTCTAAACGTTTGTATTGTTTGGTGCAGCTTAAGAGGGCGAGACTCCCGACAAGTGAATTAGTCTTATTCTATTGCACTTCCATTCGATCTGTACTTAGTTATACGGTACCGGCTTTCTATTACTCGCTGCCATTGTATCTCAAGACGGAACTGGAGCGTGTCCAGAAAAGGACGCTGGCCATTATTTTCCCGGGGATAGACTACAGCGATGCTTTAGTCAGTACTAAACTACCAAGCATTGAACGTTACAATGAAAATATTTGTAAGAAGACCTTTAATTCTATTTTAAATGATAAGAGTAACCGGTTAAGAAATCTTTTACCCTCAGCCCATAAGTCGTCTTACCATCTAAGACGATGCAGGCGTTTTGAAACACCAAGGTGGAAAACAAATAGGTTCAGGGACACATTTTTAATGAAATCTTGTATTGAGCATGATATTATATAAATATAGCTTTATCAATAGGTTTCATCATTTTACAGTATTCAATTTCACTTTTAAGCTTATTATTATTCTTACATTAGTCATACTATTAGATATTCTGTTACAATTTTTGTAAATACGCAATTCAGCCCCTTAGAGGGCTGCCATGTATGTATTTATTTGTGAGATAAACCTTCTGAAATAAACCTTCTCTGACACTCCCTCAGTGACAATTATGAACTCAGAGGAGTGCAGATTAGTACTTATGAAAAAATTGGCGAGAACAGTTTGAGAGAAGAACGTATCTGCTCTTGTAAACAATGCTCTTCAGTAGGGCTTTATGCATGTGTTAGTCAGTAGCAAAGGCTTGTAGTTATTGGAATTCCAGAACTTTATGTTGCATAGCTGACCAAGGAATTAAATTCTATCGTAACATGGGCATCAACAGGCTTCTAAAAAGGGCAGATTTATACACGAGTTGAGATATCAGTTCAACTTAAAGCTTAAAGCCTGTAACCCGACTTACGATCTTAGATCGTCCTGTTCCTCTCAATTTAATGATTTCGGTTTACGAGACAATATATTCCCCTCAGTCTCGACTTGGTGCTGTAAAAAGTTACCAGACTTTCCCGCACATACGATTCGAAACTTGCCTTAGTCGGTGCTTGACAGTACGGATTTTCCATGACCGTGAATGAAGAAGCGCGACAGTTTGTCTAGACGAAGTTGCATGTTTCATGCTTGAACAAACATCGAAAACTTGAGCCGTTCATTACGCTTTGTTAGAAAGGGAATTGCCACAACGAAACATATTGATTAAAATAAAGAATTTGATGCTGAAATCACGGCAATTTAATCATGTTGAGCGTTGAAGACATGTACTGATTGCTCATTTATTGTTGACAGCCGAAAAAAAAAAAAGCCTTCACAAAAGCCTTCAAATTTTCGCTAAAAGCTGATAAATTATTTTGAACCCTGGTGAGCAATACATAGTTTTATTTCAAGGCAGCTGCTTTGATCAAATGTTGTTTCTGGAGTGTATTTATTATGCATGTACCTATCTTAATTGAGCACTTTGTACTTAGTTTAGTAAATGTACTACCCTCAGTGATCCTACTGTACTGGAAATACCTGCATGCTTTAAATTACTATAAGTCAGTAAACTCTTATACTTCTGTATGTTTAACGTGTTTGTTATTAAAGTTCAGTTAGCCTTTGGTAACAGAGTAACAGTCTCTTTGTGTCTGAATGACGACACTACAGTTTCCCTATTTTTGGATGGAAAGGCTACTTACTCCGTACAAGAATTTCGTTTCGAGCTTATTTTTGCAAGAAATTCTTTTTCAGAACTCACCCAGCCTCCCTCTAGAACGAAACGTGGTCGTTCGATCATACTCAGATTTAAAATTTGATGTTCACAGAGAAGCCAGCTGCCCACACCCATGCACCACCCTAGGGGAGCAGTTTTTATCACATACTCAAGTACTGTAATTTCTATACTCGCAATGCTATGGTTTTTTTAACACCTTAGTTTACTGATAGCAGCTTTACACGTATATATCTCTTTGATACTTTATCCACGAGTTCAAGCGATCGTTTCTCCACCCTTGAGCACCCACAGTGATTAATATGTATATGTGCACCATCCTTCGCAGTAAAGCACCATTTAAGCAGTAGTAAAAATCAGACCTGAAAAAAATTCAGGCCTGTACGGGATTCGAACCACTGACCTCTGCGATACTAGTGCAGCGCTCTACCAATTGAGCTAACAAGCCAACTGGGAGCAGGCCATCAAATTAATTCGACATAAACCCGTAGATGATAAATCAAACAACAACAAACATATGAAACATATGTATGAACTGCGGTTATGAAACGTATATGTGCACGATCCTTCGCAGTAAAGCACTATTTGAGCAATAGTGAAAATCAGACCTGAAAAAAATTTCAGGCCTGTACGGGATTCGAACCACTGACCTCTGCGATACTAGTGCAGCGCTCTACCAATTGAGCTAACAAGCCAACTGGGAGCAGGCCATCAAATTAATTCGACATAAACCCGTAGATGATAAATCAAACAACAACAAACATATGAAACATATGTATGAACTGCGGTTATGAAACGTATATGTGCACGATCCTTCGCAGTAAAGCACCATTTAAGCAATAGTGAAAATCAGACCTGAAAAAT